CAGCTCTTTCGAGCTGAACTGGAACTGTCGCATACCTATTCAGAAATATTCTGTTATTATGATCAACGGACAAATTGAAAAGTATTTCAAATAAAACTATTCATTAATACTGACTAATTCGAACAATAATCACATATCATCGAAAATTACAATACATCCTCGATACACAATGAAAATATCTTTTATTTATCTATCTTATATTCGTATATAAAATGAAATGTTTAATTCTTATTATAGAATCAATATTTAGAGATATGATAATTTCTTATTTAAATCATTTCTAATATCAAATGGCAATTTATCGTTTTATGTTATAAAGAAACATTTAAAATAGAAAAACTCTGCGTTTTGTATCAGAACTTTTTTTTAAAATTTTAATCTATCTATGCTAGATAGTCGAATATAATGAATGATTGATGAGGAAACGATATAAAGATTATTGAATAAAGATAATTATTGAATAAGTAACCTTCATCGACAGTTAATTCACTTGATCCTAAACTGACACAATAGCAATGCACACTTAGTTGTTGATAGACCCAAACGGAGATCTCTTATACTTGACTGAGTGTGACAAAATATCTTTGTAGTTGACTATCTTATCTATAGTTGGAATGATTGATCCAGAAAGAGAATGATTCACTGTAATATGTTATCTCCTTATTTTGATGATTATTAATCTAGATCACTTTCATCTTCAAGGAAAAGTCAATGATTGAAAAGAATTTCTTAATTTAATTCGACTTTTAGATTATCAGATTTGAAATTAAATCAAATGTTGATATATTAATATATCTTTCACACTGTTCCCTTTATTATCGATGAAGATCTTTTATCTCAGAAATTTTTGACGTTAGTGTTCATTTAAGAATAATTTACAGCAAGACCAACAATAACTAATATTAGACATACTGACACTCATTGGAAAATATTTCGTTGCACTTTCATCCATTCCGATCATTTGACGACGTACTTCACTCACATTGTGCAAAAAACATTTCTTTTTCATAACGGTAATTTCCACTGAGTGTCTTGACAACACTGATGAATATCAATTGTAGATGCATTAAATGACTTTATATTATCTTTGTCTTCATCAATAAGATAAATCATGATTAACAATTACTTTTCCATCAAAAAGTGGATCACAACAGAAACCATGCTCTTGTTGTAAAATTTGTATGCGCTGAAACTCCCATCTCCCTTTCAATGTATATTTGACACAACCATGAAATCTTCGAGAATATCTATTTAATAACTGATGAATAGAAGAATATCCTTAATTTAAAACATAAGTTTTACTTCAACGATCCCATTAATGATATTCATCTATTTTACGTACTTTGTGATACATGATGCTTAACAGATATTCACTATCCAGCAGTACTCAGGATGTACTTAAATGCAGCATCGTAATAGCTTCAATGTTACCTATTATATGGGCTCATATCTCGAAAATCTATTTTGTCGCCTGGGTGTCCCTGTAGCCTCCTCTCTCTGCTTCTAGAAAGTTCGTTTCTTTGTCATCGAAACAGGAAAACTTTGGCTGCGCCCCCCTCCTTGCTCTGGCATTTGACTTACGCCCGTAGAGTTGAATTAAAAGTAAAGTATTCGTTTAATTTTCTCATAATTGACCTTTGATGAAATTTTTTATAGATGAACGAATATTTCTAAAAGACACTCATTTTAAAAAGATCTTCTTTAGACAATTACAAGAAAAACGTTCTACAATTAATTAATCATTCAGAATAATTTTAAAAAATAAGTTTTTTTTTTTTAAATTTAATTGAATGAAACACGTGTCAAACAGAACTATTATTTTTAAAGTAAAACTTGAAAACTAATTTGTTTCTTAAGATCTTTTAATGATAAAATAATAAATTATTTAATATATGATTGTACTTTATATTAATACTACTTTAAGAGATTATTTTTAAAAATATTTCGAAGTTGAAATCTTTTAAACAAGTATGAGCTATAAGATCTTTACCTTTCGAAAACAAAAGAAATTTCTTTTTTTCTATTGATTATTCGTGGATAAAATATTTATCATTAAGTTGAATAACAGATGTTATTTATTAATAAAAAAAAAACAAAGATTTTTGTTTTATTTTAGGATACATAAAATGAATTAAAATTTCAACGAATAACATTAGATAATATTATTAAATTAAGTGAACAAGTTAAACAAGGTTATTCACGTGAAGGTTAAGATGATGTTAATATTCATATGAATGATTAGGAATACATTAGAATAAGAATTTTCATTTCGTTTTTTTTTTTTGTTCATAGAATTACTTCGTAAATTAAATTCTTTAGAAGAATCAATACATGATCGTAATCGACAATTAAATCGTGCTAATGAACCACGACGAGAATTTGATAGAATTATCAGTAAACTTAGTCAATGGATTAAAACTACTGAGCAACAAATTAAAGATCCATTAACTAATCATCTTCAACAAACTACTAATAGTCTCAAAGAAAAATATAAAAGTATACAAGTAAGAAGAAGTTTTATTATCGATTTTTTTAATAGGAAAACCATCATTATGCGATAGTGTGCTATTTTAACCAATTAGAACTAGTATTTCACAATTATCAGTCCAATAGAATATTTCCTATACTGAAGTAGTGACGTAACCAGAAGGATTCAGCGCCTTGACCATATCTGTAGAAGGAACTCAAGTCTCATTTTAAGCTCAAGTGGAAGATATTAAGGAAACATTTCCAAGTATCAAATCACTTTTCTACTGAGACGATGTTCATTTTGATGAGTAATAACAAAGTTTAAAATGATTTGCTTTTTCGAGTCTTCATTCTTGAGATATCGAAATTTTACTCAATTCTTCAACAGCAAACTGTGATCAGATGGAAAACCGACTGGAAACTTTGCAAAACAAAATTGTTAATGAGACTTGTTGATTATGGAAGTTGTAACTTTTCAAATATCTCCTAGCTTGAGATATTCGAAAAGCTAAAACTTGCACAATCACCTAATATTATTAAGAACTTTGTTTGTGCAAAGTTTCTAGTCGAAAGTCAATTTTTCACATGATCATTGCTTTTTATTTAAAAACTCAATAAAATTTCAATATTCTTGAGAACGAAGGTGAGGAAGATCAAACTATCCTAGATTTTTTTTAAATACAGTCTATCACTTATCAAATGAATATCTTCTCGGTCGAAAAGTGATTTGATATCTGAAGAGATTCTCTCTAACGCTCATTTTAAATATATTTTCAGAAATCTTTCCTATTCAATTGTTGAGATTAAAAACGTCATATATTTTACTACTTAAACAAAACAATATTATACATATATATATACTCAAATCTTTAATCTTAACCTTCTAATTGACTCCTAAAAAGTTTTATTGTCAATTCTTTTTTTTTTTTGTAAGGCATTACTTCAATCAACAAAAGATCGTACGAATCTATTTGATGATTTAAGACGTATTTATATGATTGTTTCATCAACATTGAATCATACTGATCGAATAACATTTATAGTTTACTTCAAGAAAAATATAATCGTTTATTAGATAATCTTACACAACGTCTTACATTACTTGATGAAGCAAATCGTAAGTTTAATCATTGTTTTTTTTTTTGTCTAATTTCTTCTTTTAGTTATCATTGAAGGTAAACGAGATGAATTTAATAAACAAAATGAATATGTTCAAAATCTTTATCAACAATTAGAAAATGATTTTACAAAATAAAAACAACAATCATCATTTATTGATGATAATCGTCATTATCATTTATTATCAATTGAAAAA